CCCAGCCCCCACCCACCACACCTAGTCCAACCCAGACCTATCCATTGAACCCCCCAGCCCAGCCCCCACCCACATCCAGCCCAGCCCCACCCATTGCACCCAGTCCAGCTTGGCTCGAACCATCAGGTCCATCCTTGCCCTATCTTGACCACTACATCCGGCCCAGCCCAGCCTGGTCCCAGCCACTGCACCTGGTCCAGCTTGGCCTGGCCCACATCACCCAGCCCATCCAGGTCCCCACCCATCACATCACCACATCCCACCTGGGAAGGGCCGTGCCCATGGCGCCTGGCCCAGCTCAGGGGGAACACCATCCCTCAACTCAGCCTTTACCCAAACAACAGACAGGCCTCTAAGGCGGTCAGTACCCCACGGGGGAGTGGAGGGGAACGACCACACAGACACCCTTAGAGCAATCAATCATCTAAGATCAGAAAAGCTGCATTTGCCCAGAAAGAAAGCTCAGAATGCAAGTCCTTGCCACGGAGTCAGAGGTGACCAGCAGTGACCCTCCGGGGTCTGCCACAGGAAGAGACTGCCCATCCTTCTGCACAGTGCCTGGGGGATTCGAACCCCCAGAAGTGTGTGTGCAGCCTTTGGATTAGCAGTACCCCTTCCTCCCCATCCCACCACACACCTCAGCCACCCAGGGTGTTGACTGAGGGTCACAAGAGTTCAACTGACAAGACAGGAGAAGAAAAGGAACAGCAGGCCTTTTCCTTCTTCAGAGTGACATTTCCTTACCTACTGGTATGAAAGTTTTCTTTAACTGTGCTAAAGAAATCGACGTAATAGGTCACAGCAATCGAGGCCAAAATCCAGAATCCAGAATGGACATTAAGTCTTGGAAGGGGTTTATCCTTTTTCTCAACAGCTGAGGAGGTTTCTGCAAATAGGGGAGATTTCACTGCATCAATAATTTCCAAAGGTAACAGTGTATATTTTAAACCAAATAAACACTATATTCTAGAGCTTTCTAAAAACTGCACTCTCCCATCATCACTGATTTCCTCTGCAACACCATCAACGAAGGTTTGTACGTGCACAAGGAAAAGAGCTGGATGCTGCGGTTACAGAAGGGTCCCTGGTGCCATGCTGTGTGAAATTACAAACCCAAAAGCCAGCAGCTCAAACCCAAGCACCAGCTAAGAAATATGTTCAATAATCAACATACTTCTTCAAAACAAAATTTTCCATCAACTATATGCACAGTTATTGTGAAGGAGCGATGCCCTCTGGGACTGCAGCAACTCTTAATGTTACATCAATGATGGTCAATGTGTGTGTCATCAGGTCAGTCTTGCCTTGTGGTGACCTTGCGTGGCAGAGAACTGGCCCTCAGCATTTCCTAGGCTGTACTTTTATCATCATGCTGGGAAAGGTGGACGGTCAGCAAAAGAGAGGAAGACCTTCAACAAGATGGACTCTGACAATGGGCTTGGGCCGGTCAGAGATCATGAGGGTGGCACAAGATAGGGCAAGGGTCAGATCTGTTGTTCCTGAACAATAATGTTAATGAGAACAGATTAGCAGGTCTTTTCTCCTGCTGAACAGCTGGTGAGCTGAGCCATCAAGCTTTCAGTTAAGAGCCCCACACTAAACACTCATTTGGACACCAGGGTTCCCTTGTTAGGTGCTTTTGAGTCAAGTACGACTCACAGCAACCCTATGAACAAGCGATCAGATCTGAACCCTGTCATATCGGGTGCTCTGTTCACAGTTCCTGACACAGCAGAGCCCACTGTGCAGTCACTGTGTCGATCCACTTGGTTGAGGGTCTTCCTCTCCTCTGCCACCCCTCCACCTTTCCACACACAATGTCGCTCTCTGAGGAGTAACCTCTCCTAGCAACATGCCCAAAGTACGTGAGACCAAACTTGGCCACCCTTGCTTCCGAGGAGGGTTCCGGCTGCGCTCTTTACAAGTCAGTCATATGCTTGTTCTTTTGGCTGTCCATGGGCTACTCGGCTCTCCTGTCCAACACCACAGCTCAAAGACATCAGCCAGGGCTCCTCAGGAAGGTCATTTTGAAACACTGCCACTGGGTCGGAACCAACTCCAGTCGGTTTTTGGAGGTTATACATCACATGGGAGAAGAGAGCCCATCCTCGTCCCACAGAGCAGCACTTCCTCCAAGTAATTACGCTTGTTAATAAAGATGCAAAAGGCAAATGTGTTAGAACACAAAATGGACTTTCAATCTATTAAGGGTACTTCTTGTAACTAATTCTAAGGAAAATAAATGGACAGTGCATCAGTTACTTTTTGTAACTAATTCTGTTATTATGTGCTGTTGAGTGGCCTGCAACCCATAGTGACTCTATGTACAGAATCTCTGAAGCCTGCCCTGTCCTGGGCCAGTCTAATTCCCACACACCAACCCCCATTGCTCCACTTACTGTATTAATCCACCTCATCGGGGGTCTTCCTCTCCTGCACTGTCCCTCCACCCTTCCACGCATGATGTCCTTCTCCAAGGACCAAGCTCTCCTGGCCATGTGCCCAAAGTATGTGAGATGGAGCTTCAAATCCTAGCCTCCAAGGAGAAATCTGGTTTCACTCTCTCAAAGTCCTATTTTTCAGTTCAGGATTCTTCTCCAGCACCACAATTCAAAGGCATCAATTATTCTTCTGTCATCCTTAGTCACTGTGCAGCTCTCAGCTCTCAGAACCTAACAAGTAACTGCAAAGACCACGGCCTGGATTAGGCGCACCTTAGTCTCTAGAATAACACCACCACTTTTCAGCACTCTAGAGGTCTCTGACAGCAGATTTTCCCAATGCAATTCATCTTTTGATTTCCTGACTGCTGGTGTTGAGTGTTGATCAGAGCAAGCTGTAATTGCTAACAACCTCCATCTCTTCTCCATCACGGAGCTGCCGACTGGCCCAGTGGTGAGAATCTTCGCCTTCTTGATGGTGAGCCTCAATCCATATTGAAGACTACAGTCCTTGACCTTTTGCAGCAAGCGCTTCAGGTCTTCTTCAGTTTCAGCAAGTAAGGCTGTGTCACCTGCATACCGTAAGTTGTTTGTGAGGCTTCCTCTAATCCTGATGCCACATTCCTCCTCATAAAGCCCTGCTTCCTGAATCATCTGTTCTGCATAGAGTGAAAAGGTACCACCAGTTATTGCTGAGACCTGTTGTTACTGAGTACTGTCGAGAACTGACCCTACAGCAGGTTTTCAGAAGCAACAAATCACATGAGACTGCCCGTCTTTCACCTGGGGAGCAGCTGATGGAATCCAACCACAACTGCAGTGCAGCTTCTTTCCACTGCTGTTGATTGCTTTCGAGTTGAGCACGACTCATAGCAACCCTATGAACAAAAGGCCTGAAGCCCTTCCACAACTATCGACATATATAGTTCACAGTTTCCAGAGGCACGTTATTTAGGAAGTGGATGCCACTCCTGCTTCCAAACCTGTCATAGTATGTTACTGTTATGTGCCATCGAATCACCTGTGATGTATAGCATACCTATGTACGGCGGCTCTGAACCCTTCCCTGTCCTGAGCCAGTCTCACTAATTCCGACACACCAACCTCCACTGTCCCAGTCACTGTATCAATGCATCTCATGCGGGGTCTTCCTCTCCTGCACTGTCTGTCCACCTTTCCGAGCATGATGTCCTTCTCCAAGGACCAACCTCTCCTGGCCATGTGCCCATAGTAAGTTTCAAAATCTTAGCCTCCATGGAGAGACTTGGTTTCACCCTCTCCAAGACAGACTTATTTGTTTTCTTGGCAGTCTATGGTATTTTCAAGACTTCTAAAGCACAACTCGAAGCCATCTATTCTTGTCATCCTTAGTCATTGTCCAACTCTGAAGCATAACAAGTAATTGAGAAAACTGTGGCCTGGATTAGATGCACCTTTGTTATTTGGACTGACATCACTGCTCTTCAGCACTCTGGAGAGATCATGACAGCAGAGTTTCCCAATGCAATTCGCCTTTTAATTTCCTGAGTGCCGGTACTGAGTGTTGATTGTGAATCTGAGCAAACTGTAATTGTTAACCTCAATCTCTTTTCCATCCATCATGGTGCTGCCAATTGGCCCAGTGGTGAGAATCATCACTGTCTTCCTCTTGTTGAGCTTCAATCCATTTTGAAGGCAACAGTCCTTGACCTTCTGCAGCAATCACTTCAGGTCCTCCTCAGTTTCAGCAAGCAAAGTTAATGGGTCTTCCTCCAATCTTGATGCCACACTCCTTCTCATAAAGCCCTGCTTTCCCAAATGATCTGCATACAGATTGAAAAGGTATGTGGACAGGATGCATCTCTGACACACTCCTTTCCTAATTATGAACCATGCAGTTTCCTTGCTCTGTTCTGAGGACTGCTTGTCGGTCCAAGTATATAGGTTTTGTATAAGCACAATCAAGTGTGCAGAGATTCCTATTTTCCTCAACGTTAGCCACAATTTATTGTGATCCACACAGTCAAATGCCTTTGCAGAGTTAACAAAACACAGAGAGACATTCTTCTGGTATTCTCTGTTATCTGACATTGGCAATATTACCCTAATGCCACAAACTCTTCTAAACCCAGCCTGTATTTCTCGTAGTTCTCTGTCAATGTACTGTTCAAGTCTTTTCTGAATAATCTTCAGGAGGATTTTGCTAGTGTGTGATACTAGTGATATTGTTCGATAATCTCCACACTCTGTCGGGTCACTTTTTGGAATGAGAATAAATATGGATCTCTTCCAATTCTCATATAAGGATGCAGCCCTATTTCTTTAACAGCTCACTGCTGACAGGGCAAGATGGGATTGCTATCGAGTTGTACTCACAGCACGTAACAACCACTTGACAAGTGCGTGTCTCTAGTTCTACCCAACTATCTACAAATCTCTGGGGTGAACTATTTTGTGGGTATATCTTTGTAAAATGATGAATTCTTAGCAACTAGAACTCATGAGTATGTTTCATTTAAACAGACACTGCCAAGCAGGTGGTGCTCAAGTGACTCAGTGCTAAGGAGCTGCCCTGCCATCCCAAAGGTAGGGGGTTCCAATCCATCAGCTACCAAATAGGCAATCTCCTTCTACGGGGATTAACTGCCTCCAAAAACCAGGTGTAGGGTCATCTGTGAGTCGATTACGACCTATTAGTAATACAACAGCACTAACCAGGTGGTACAAAGATTTTAAACGAGGGTGCTCTTTAAACGTTAAGGTGGGGAGGCTTTGATTCATACGCTATGTGCATAGTACCACGGGGAGACTAGTCTCTAGACGAAATTTGCTTTAAATTCGCCTTCCCTCCAACCAGCAGCTCCACGTGAGTCACCGCGAAGTTTATCAGCCCCGCGAAACACAGACTCAACCTGGGTTTCCATCAGAAAGCCAAGAGCATGGGCTCCATCAAGTGGAACTAAGGGACCTTCCTCGAATGGCTCAGCCAAGTTCTCTGCAAGCAGGTGCGATGGGATGACAAGAGCACCCCTCGGTACGTAAGATAAAATTCTACTTATGAAAAGGGGGTGCGGGGAGTGGAGGGTCAGGAGAAAAGAGAAGGGCAGACACAGCAGCTGCAAGGATGCACTGATGCTGGACGAGAACTGAGGATGGCGCGGGCCGGGCGGGTTTCTGAGTTCGAGCCCCGCGGACAGCACCTCACTGCCTCTCCGGGGAGCCCTGCAAGCAGCTGCGGGGGATTCCGTAGGATCACGTAGTCTCTAATGACACCAAACCCCCGACCCTCCAACGACCGGATGGAGCCCCCGACCGGAACCCGGAACCCAGGGCCTGGGCGGGGCGGCGAGAGGCCAGAGGGGCCCGCGGGGTCGGGACCTCGCCGCCGCGACCCCCTGACCGCCCCCCAGGAGGGAGCGCACCCCGGGGAGCGCCTCACCCGGGCCCGCGCCGCCCGCGCCGCTCAGGTGGGCCTCGGGGTCCTGCGGGAACAGGTACCGCCGCCGGAGGTGCTCCCGGGCCCGCGCCGCGTCCATCTTGGCACCGCCACGGGTGTGCCGTGATGACGTCACAGTCGCGCGTCCTGCGTCGGCACCGCCCCCGCCGCCGCCGGCACCGCCCCCTCCGCCATGCTCTAGGTTGCCTGGTCACCTGTGCAACCCCTGTTGATTTTTTTTTTTCCTTTAGAGCGCCCAGAAGCCAAAGCTAAAGGAAGAAACCAAGAAATCAAAGAGCTGAACAGAAAATTTCAAAAGGCAGCTCTGGACGAGAAAGCACGAGACTATAATGAAATGTGCAGAGAGCTGGAGTCCGAAAATCAAAAGGGCCGGACTTGCTCAGCGTTTCTTAAGCGGAAGGAGTTGAAATACAAATTCAAGCCATGGGTGGCAATACTGAAAGATAGTTTGGGTAGAATGTTGAATGATCTAGGAATTATCAAAAGAAGATAGAAGTAGTACACAGAGTCACTGTATCAGAAGGAATTGGCTGACAAAGAGGAATTTCATGAAATAACATATGAGCAAGAGCCTATAGTGATGAACGAGGAAGTTCAAGTTGCTATGAAGGAATTAGCAAAAAACAAGGCTCCAGGAGTTGACGGCATACAAATTGCTATATTTCAACAAACAGATGCTGCCCTGGATTTGCTCACTAAGTTGTACCAGGAAATCTGGAGGACAGCCAGTTGGCCAACTGACAGGAAGAGATCGATATTTGTTCCCATTCCAAAGAAAGGTGACCCAACAAAGTGTGGTAATTATAGAACAATATCATTGATATCACATGCAAGCAAGGTTCTGCTGAAAATTATCCAAAAACGTTTAGAACAATATGTCAACAGAGAACTGCCAGAAGTGCAGGCTGGATTTAGAAGAGGTCACGGTACTAGGGATATTATAGCTAATGTAAGATGGATCTTGGCAGAAAGCAAAGAATACCAGAAGAATGTCTATCTGTGTTTCATTCACTATGCAAAGGCGTTTGACTCTGTGGATCACAACAAGCTATGGCTGACTGAGAAAATGGGAATCCCAGAAC